TTTATACTGGAGGAATCCGATGAGCTATGAAACTCCCTTTCACAGATGTCCAATTGGGGCGGGTAAGAACGTTAACAACAACAAACAGTACATAAACATGATAGTAATGAAAAGTACAGTATAAGAAAGGTAAACAAATCACCAAACACATACAAATAAAACTAAACCATCCTACCAGGCATAATATATATCACTCAAGTAATTGGACCCTTAGCCTAACATGCAGTTGATATTTGGACATTTTCCTAAGTTAATTGTTTCACGAAAAAATGACATTCAGTAAAAATGCTAAGTTTTTTTTCTGTCACAGGGGTAGAACGAAAATCGTTAAACAAGCTATCAGATGTAATTGCTGATGCATTCGTATGACTAATGGCACAAGCGTGTGGGGGCATGCGTGAATAGTGATCACTAGCATTGTCAAACGCCAAACCGGTAACCACTTTCATAAGTCAGAACCGGTGATCGCTGTTATAATCTGTTACCGGTTATGAAAATCAGAACCAGAAACGTTTTCAATAGAATTGTGGTAATAAATGCACCGATTGGCAACGCGAACACACGAACGACACGGAAGGCCCATACTTTACCTCACCACATGCATCCTGCCGATCGGCTGTGGTGTACACGTTTGTACTGCTGTTGGGCAGACAGAGGTTGTGGGGTGCTGGATTTAAGAAACTTGCACCCAGTTTGAACGGCTGCGCCAAGAGATGCTATTCAACCGTGACCTCTGACCATTACTCCAATTTGGCAGCAGCTATCGCTGCTCAGTTAAAAAGTTTAACATGTTATATGTTCATTGCTCTAGACATTTACAGTATACATGTGCGGCAAATTATGAATAACCAGTTGCTAAATGTATTTTTTCTCATGCGGTTGCTGGCTATGCGAATAAACTCGTTTTAACAATGCTAGTAATTACACTCCAGAAAGTGACAGCTGTACTCTATAGTTGGTAGTGATTTATTTATTTAGTATTGAGTCACCTGGAAAAGATGTGACCTACATTTCACCCTGCAACCGGAGAGCAAATTATCGCTCAAACAATGAACAAATGACATGTCAGAACCCACAAGTAAAAATGTATATACTGTTAAGAAGAAGACTTACAATTGCATTTTATTTTACTTAAAATCTGGTTTCAGCACTTGCCCACTTACAGTGCACGCTGTACAGTGGTGGCTGTAGCATTTCCACTGTAAAATACTATTGCCCAGTCACATGGAACACCTTACATTAATTTCCCGCTTCGTTCTTACCCTTAACCATCATTTACCTTAAGCATTATACCGACACCTAAGTGAGAGGAAAGCTCAAAAGATTGTTCAGGGATTTTATCCAAAATGTCTTCCCCTTGAGTGTATTGCATAACTGCAGTAAAATGTTTAAGGTTTTTGTTGAGTTCTATGAAATAGAAAAATTACGTTAAATGTCATTGAAGCCAGGCTGAAGTCCATTGTGGGAAATATGTATGTACGTATGTTAAATTTCTTTCACATTTAAGGAGAGATCATGGGCCTAGAACCCTTGCTGCAAGTTGGCAGTGTACACCAAAAGCCTCTGAAATCAAGAAGCATTGGTGGTATCGACGGAGGTGAAGAGTAGGGCAACCAACAGAATGATGATGTATGTATGTTGAACTTCTAACGCACCGTACGTAGCCAACCGTGCTAATCGAAAGTGTGGAGGAAGGACAACAAACTAAACACAAATAGCAGTTCTAAAGAAATTAATTTGTCAATCTAGATTTAAAGATGCATAGCTTCAGTGGCTTCCTAATATCGGACTAAAGAACGTTCCAGACGGCCGCAGAAGTGCATCTGAAAGCGTGCGATGTTTAGCAAAAATCTGCTGCGAGGATGACTGAAAAAATATGGTTGACTAAACATTGGGATCAAAGCAACCTCTGCAAACTCCTCATGGGCAATTATCAGCTAGACTGAATTCCTGTAGAAAATTCGACTGCATTTACTGCAGTTAATTGGATTTGCCATTAGCAACAAATAAAATGACACAACTTGAATACTATAAATCAAAGGTATCATAGGAGATGTAAGTTTGCTACGCTAATTTCCAAGACCACGGCTGGTTTTCTTGGTTATCGTAGCTCTGAATGGCAGCTATTGGCTGTCAATGATTGATGGTTTTTACCCAATTTGGGTCAAAAGTCGCTGTCAAATCTAGCGTGGGGCTCACCTGCAGCACAGCATATGCTCAATACTGGGCAAACTCTGGGGTGAGGTGCCCTGTATATTCATTCTCAATCAAAACCCCATTATTTCCATGAAGGCCAAATTTAACCCACATACAGCTTGTAATGTTATTTTTGAGTGTTAAAAAAAATGTATTTTAAGGTATGAAGTAGCTTTCAAAAATATACCACAACTTACTTGGTCTGATAAAATTTAAAGACCATTCACAATCCAGTGCTTTTGGAACCAGAAGTCATGAAAGAGTTCGAATCTTGCAATTCGTGGAGGAAATGTGTGCACATCTCTCCAGAATAAAATTCATATAGTCCAGTAATTGTGTAGAGGAGAGATATATGCGGTGCGCGCAGTTAAGTGGGTGCAACTGAGGACAAACAGGTGTGCGTGTTGCAACATGAGGTTTGCACCGGAGAAGCGGGTGCAAACGAGGTCGAACAGGTGGGAACGTTGAGGCTGGAGGTTGGCGTCGGGGTGATGATAAGGGATTAATGAGGACACAGGCGCCGGGCAGGCGGCGGCTTAAGGGGAAGCACGCGAGGACTCGGAATGAGCAGGGGGATATAAGCTGGAGTGTGCATGCGCGGAGTTGAGTTGCCCGGGAACCAAGAGTGAAGACATCTCGCCACTGCCGCTCAAGCCGTCAACAAAGCCTCAACCCTCACCGTCGCCGGGCGGGTGTTGGCTGAACCCCCCCACCCGGGACAGACGGGTGAGCGGGTATGGGGCAACATAAGTGAGGGCAGCGGTGGAGATGCAGAGTTCTAAGAGCTGCTGTGTGCAGAGTCGCTGAGTGCGGAGTTGTTGTGTGCAGAGCCGCTGAGCACGGAGTTGCTGTGCGCAAAGTTGCCGAGTGCGGAGTTGCTGTGTGCAGAGTGGCTGAGTGCAGGATAGGTGAGGTGCAGAATAGGTGAGAGCGGAGAGAAGTCAAGTGTATGTGACAGTAAAGATAGATATAGTAGTGCCTACAACTTGCGCGTGAACAGGAGTAATAAAGTGTAAGCAGGTGACTTGTTACTACGTGTCGGTGTGAGTAATTTTTGAAGACACTACAATTGGACCAACGCGGATGAAGAGGAGGGAGTTCTCAGCTCTGCCTTTCGCTTTATGACACAGAGAGCCAACGATAGTGTGTGTTGGAATGTTTTTGGAAAATTGAACTTGACGATGAAATCCAATGCTGTTGAAAAATGTAAATCTCCAGGCCAGGCAGTTGAAATATTGGGGTGAGTTTATCATATCCACCTTAACCTGTCTAGCGATTTATACTGTTAATTGAGTGGAAGCTCTGGTTTGTGGTGGGGTAAAGTGTGGGTACGCCCACCTTTTCCGAGTCGTCTCTCGCGGAGGCCCAGCCTAGCAGCGGCGTGAGTGAGCAACGAGTGCACAATACCACCACGTGGTAATTTAGGCCACCGTGCTGTTCGCATGTGCCAATGGGGGCGTTCATCACTAAATACAGTCAACCATCAATTATCCGGCGGCTTCGGGGGGAAGAGGGGCGTCGGAGTTTCAAAAACGCTGGATAATCACATTATTTTAAATAGCCTGTGTTTGCACATTATTGCATAACATGTTTTAGGTGTTGTGTTTTTAAAAAAATGTGTTTACTCTGAAATTGGCATAAATAATCATACAAATAGACAAAAATAAATATCCTGTATCAAGGTACTGTATTTACTGTACCGTACTTACCACTTTAATCTCGAAGACTCTGCATGGCGTGATGTACTGTACCTACTATGCTGTTTCAACAACATGATGGGTCCAAAGGCTGTACCAGTCACTGGACTGGTACAGCCTTTGGAGCGGTTTTGCTGGATAGGTCCAGGACCGCCGGATAAATTTGGAAGCTGGATAATCACGTGCCCGATCATAGAAGATCGATTGTATTCCATTGGAAACGGTTACCGATTACTGACTTTGAGAACTGGCCATTTATTGCGAAAATGGTTACCGGTTTGCTGGCTATTTAAACAACCCTGATTTTTATATGGTCTGCGAAGCATGCGTCGTGCAAGTCATAGCAAAGCAACGTTTAGTTCTCAGAACAGAATAAGCCGAATTGAGTGAACAAACATTTGATACGCTGGTTGTTTATGTGTGTGCAGTCATTGTTGGCCAGTCTGAGACCAGCACCTCACAACGCTTTGGGACCCCCCCCCCCCCCCACCTGGGTTAATCAGGGTGGTGGTGACCCCAGGTTTCAAATTCAGCAATGCAGCATGGACACCTTGATGCTGCGGCCCCTAGGCCACACGGCCCCATAGGCCACACGGCCACCTGACAGCCTCGCTGAGTCTCAATACCTTTTTTTTCGGAGAGTCCTGCCGTTTTATTTGAAATTTTGTTTTGCAGTAGTGCACATATTGCTAAGTTTCCCAATGAGATCATTTGCGAGAAGTTTTTAAAACAATGCCAGTTTCAACCGTGACGTCAGCACAGAATGGCCTGCTGTCCTTCAAATGACATCCCGGGATCTTTGACGTCCACTGCAAAGCAGAAAATGTCTATTTTAGTCTTAATGCACACCGCAGTAATAATCAGGGCGGCCTGTTGGATTTGAACTGCGAACCTTCGCCACGAGCAGCGAACGAGCTACCACCGTGCTGTGCCACTACATTTGTGGCACTAATGGTGCATTGCATCACCCAAGTTTCAGTGTAAAAAAACAGTGGTCAATCTCAGAAGGCTTGTGGTGAAACCATTAGTTACAAAGATATCACACTGGCATGGTCATGATTTACTGGCGTGGTTTCTCCCCGGGTGTGTGCGCGTCTGTGTGCGCAGTACTGCTCGTGATGGCGGGTTCCCTGAGTGGACGAGTGTGCATCGTGACGGGGGCGTCTCGCGGCATCGGCAAAGGCATCGCCCTGCAGCTGGCGGAGGCAGGGGCCACGGTCTACATCACGGGGCGCAACCAGGAGACGCTGCGGCAGGCCGCCGAGGAGGTGATGGCGATGCCTCGGTCGCGAGTGGCTGACCGTTGCTTTGTTTGGTATCGTGGCATCATGTCCTGCAGGCAGTGATGATGACATTGTTTACATCGACATGTGTTTACTTGTGTAGTGTTCTTCACGGAGGAACATACTAGAACTTGGAGACAACACATTTATTGTACTGCCCTAACAGGGCTACTACTTTAACATAACAACGGGTTCTATATCTAGGTGATAACTACCACTATTAACTAGACCACAACGGGGTAACTACATATCCGGGTCATTCAGTCACACACTGCCTGACCCACGATGCCGAGCATAAAGACCGAAGACCGAGGACCACGGATCGAAGAAACGTAGCACCGACGGGTTCCATTCTAACAGCCACGATTGATCTCGGGACCTCTGCTTTATGCTACCGAGTGTGGCCTCGCTCCGCCCTCGGCCACGCCCCCTTCTGGATCTCACCAGAAGGTTCTCGACCGAGCATCACGTGTCCCTCAAGCCACCCTTTGGGCCCCCTCGCTACCCTGTCCCGGTCACTTGTCCTCTTGGGGTCACCCAGACTGTCACGTCCTCACATGCCCTCTCTCTGACCGTCATCCGAACCATGCCCTCTCGGGCCCGCTTCCATGCCATACCTACTGGTATGGCATGGTGCCAAAGAGAGGCCCAAGACACACAGTTCCATTCTTGTGACAGTAGCTGGCACTATATACCATAGTGACTCCATTTACGTCACTACACCTGCAGTTGAACTTATCTCCATTGAAGTGGGTGGGTGTGTAGTGCTCTTCGAGGATAAGCAAATTCGCAGTGGAAAAGGTTTGTGAAATTAGCTCCTAGTCCACAAAACTAATCGAGGATAAACTCAGGGGTGTTTGACGGTACGGTGTGTGTTGGCTGGCATGGGGGTGGGGTGTGTGATGGCACGGCGCGTGTTTGCCATTGGCTTTGTCCCACTCTCCGTGTCTCTGGCAGGTGGAAGCACGTGGTGGACGCTGCGTCCCCGTGTCCTGTGACTCCACCAAGGAGGAGGAAGTGCGAGCGCTGTTTGAGCGTGTGCGGCGCGAGCAGAAGGGCCGACTTGACATCTTGGTCAACAACGCGTACGCCGGCGTCAAAGTGAGTGCCCAAGAGTTGTGATGCAAATTCTTAGCCAAATGCAAACCTACAACTTTCCATACTCGTTTATGTAATTTACTTGTTGAGCTTCATTTGGCGTAAATGAACACTAACAAAAGTATTAGTTTCATATGTAGATTGTCTTTGTTGCATTTCCCGTCCCAAATGTGAATGCCAAAGACGATTTTCAGCGGCATTGGAAAGCCATTTTGGGAGCAGCCTGCCACAGACTGGGATGACATCAACAACACTGGTCTGAGGTGTGTATACCATTCCAACTCTGTGGTTTAAATATTACAATGCTCTTATTATTGTAGCCGGGCAGATCAGAGCTAGCAGTGCTGAGGTGCTAGGTTCGAATCAGATCAGCTGACTGGGGGATTTTGGAAGGCCTTAGCGGAGAGAGAGTTGTCAATGGTCGGTTTAAGAAGCAATGAAGGCATGCACGTGACTCGGCAGTAGCTGGGACGAGTGAAGGGTATGATAAAACAAGCACCACCACTCATAGGTTAGAGCACGATTATCCCTGCTATGTAAAACCGAAACATTTAACAATAACTGAATACATTTATTTATAATTGGTTCTTTACCCTTCTATCTGGCAACACAACTGACACCTTTTTGCAAGGAGTCATGTTTGCATAGACTCAACTTCAAGGACAGTGCACATTATCAGAGTTATGTTCTTTTGTTTGTATTATGACTGCAGGTATTGCGGTCTATGCAAACATGACTCCTTGCAAAAAAGGTGTCAGTTTTGTTGCCAGATAGAAGGGTAAAGAACCAATTATCATATTTTTACTGGCAAATGAGGTCCCCATAGTGTAGATGCTTGCCCCGAGCTCTCATACTCTGATGGTGCATTGTCCTTGAGTTGTGCGCCTTTTGGCGTCATCTGGTCCAACCCATATGAGACTAGGCTCGAAGGAAAGCTGTCTCGGGTGTGGACCAATCAACTTCAAGGACAGTGCACATTATCAGAGTTATGTTCTTTTGTTTGTATTATGACTGCAGGTATTGCGGTCTATGCAAACATGACTCCTTGCAAAAAGGTGTCAGTTTTGTTGCCAGATAGAAGGGTAAAGAACCAATTATCATATTTTTACTGGCAAATGAGGTGCCCATAGTGTAGATGCTTGCCCCGAGCTCTCATACTCTGATGGTGCATTGTCCTTGAGTTGTGCGCCTTTTGGCGTCATCTGGTCCAACCCATATGAGACTAGGCTCGAAGGAAAGCTGCCTCGGGTGTGGACCAATCAACTTCAAGGACAGTGCACATTATCAGAGTTATGTTCTTTTGTTTGCATTATGACTGCAGGTATTGCGGTCTATGCAAACATGACTCCTTGCAAAAAGGTGTCAGTTTTGTTGCCAGATAGAAGGGTAAAGAACCAATTATCATATTTTTACTGGCAAATGAGGTCCCCATAGTACATTTATTTAGTTTTGTTGTGTGGTACTAAATAAACTATTCTACTGGGTTTGCATGGATGCAACGAACAATACGTTAAACTGTTTTTTAAGTAGTGTAGAGGTGTGTATACACAGCGTTAGCATGTGTAATTGTGTAGTTGGTTTGCTTCGGAGCAGCATTACATTTGTAAATCGTTGGGTCCGACTGGCCAATTGCCATTGTCAGAAGAGATGCGTTACAGTTCCCTGCTGTTCAGGCCATGGCTCGTGGGCTAATACGGTGGTGTGGCAATGACGGTGCCACAATTCAGTGCAACATGCCGACTGCACAGCGAACAGCTTGACTGGAGGAGAGCCTGGACTGAATTCAGTGCACCACTGCCTCATCGGGCTCACACAAACCTATTTTTACCAAAAATTTGATTTTACCAGGTAAGGCTCAATGAGCTATATAGCTTTTTTCAGAAGCGACCTGACCACAAATGATAGATCAACGAAGTGGCTTATCGTGAGGAAATTTATAGCAACTAAATACCCTAAACGTACATTTCTAAATGTGGAGGGGAAAAACCGAAGGACCTGGAGAAAAATCCACGAAACCACAGGGAGAACATGCAAGCTCTAAATATACAGGCGTCAGGGTCGGGAAGGAACCTACGACCTCCTGCATACCAGGCGAGGTAGTTTACATCTCGGCCACTGCGGCGCCAATTTTGAAGAACTTCCAGATGCCGACAGATAGGACCCAGCATGCATGTACCCCCTGTTTACATATGGTTCCTAGAAACGAGTTTAGGGTTTTCTCGTATTGAGCCAATGCTGCAGAGGTTATGTGTTCCCAATGGGCCTTGTGGCTGATGAGATGTGTAAAATAGGTACAGACGTGAAGTAGGCGTATTGTCTGTTTATTAGTTTTATTACTTATGTAATTGTTCGACAGAGGCGCACACACTCGTGTGAAGGCAACACTTATTTATTTAACACAACTGCAACAACTGCAACACACCCTTCACATAAGGTAGTGACCACCGTCCTACTCTCGCTAACACTCGGGTACTATGATAATTGGTTTTTTACCCTTCTATCTGCCAAAAAAACTGACACCTTTTTTACAAGGAGTCATGTTTGCATAGACCACAATACCTGCAGCCATAATGCAAACAAAAAAACATAACTCTGATAATATATGCACTGTCCTTGAAGTTGATTGGTCCACACCCGAGACAGCTTTCCTTAGATCCTAGTCTCACATGGGTTGGACCAGATGACACCACAGGCCAGAATGAGTCATTTGGATACTCGGGTACTACTTGGCGTGACCAAGCCAGGAGGGCTTCTGCTTGGCCACGATGACTGGAGGCTTCTTTCTTCAGATTCATCATTAGACGTCTTCATTCCAGGCACGAACAGCCCAGCTCTCTGTGTGTAGCCGGCTTATAAGCCCCCCTGGCGTGGCTGGCCACACCCTGGCCACGTCCCCCTTCTCGAACCCACGATAGAAGGCTCCACTCCCCGACCACGTGACCCCCAGGGTCCCCTGGCCCCCATCTGGATCTGGTCACGTGTCCAGCCGGGGTCACTCAGAGTGCCCTTGCCAATCGTCAACAGCCTCCATACCGAACAGGCAGTGACGTCATGTGTGTACAGACCCAACAGCAGTGACGTCATGTGTACTGACCTGACACGGTAGTGACGTTTAATATCACTCCACTTATATTCTGCATCAACGACGCTGATCATTTTTAGTTATGAAAGCAGTAGTCTGGGGAAAGCAATCTGGGATGTATATGGTTCAAGTTTTCAGGTTTATTTTGTTTAACTAGGTGAGACCTCCACAGGCCAGAATGAGTCATTTGGAAGAATGACCGAGATTGCACCTATCCAATTATTATGGAGTTCACCCAAATTTTTTTAATAATTAAAATGCACTGTGATCAAAGAATGTGCATGGGCAGTACCTGCTTTGAACACAGCCAGCATGGGACACCACAGACAACGAGACAAGGACACACAGAGACACACAGCCACTCGGACTCGGAGACACAGGACTCGGTATGGGAACATGTTTTTCATTGTGGGAACGTTTAGCACTTTAAGAGAGGAGGAACAGCATGAGTGGACAATGCTCTTTGTAGAACGCACGGTGGCCACAGGTACCGAGAGCGGGCCTCACGAATAGTCTGGTAATCACAAAGAGCCCACAGAGGTCATGCGTGAGTCGGCACACTCTGGGAGGTTCAATCCACTGCTGGTCGAAGGCCTCCCCGAGCCTCCACCAACTCTCATGTTCCTGTGATCTATGTGTATGTAGCACCTTCACATTTACTGACATCATCGCTCCATCTCGGTGTTGTGTCCTCGCGGACGCATTCCATGCCTAATTGAACATGGCTGTATGAAATATGCCCTGCTAATACAGCAGGGTTCATAATTTCTTGTTTCATGTAAAACAAATTAATACTTTATCTCAACAATTGTTTGTAATATTGTTTATGAATGTGTATTGTTTATGGATAGTGCGTACCATTGTTTATGAATTGTGCGTGCTATTGTTTATGAATCGTGCATACTCTTGTTAATTAAACCAGTGACTATGGTATGGGCTGGCATTGTGAGCTAGGAAAGCATGCCAACTCTTTGGCGCAGCTCAAACAAAACATTCCATTTTTCAGTAATACATTTCAAGTCATGGATATCATCAATAACTTGAATGCCCCATTTCGCAGCATAGAAACCCTTCCAATGTAATGCACAGCAACGGCTTTAATGATACATCAAAGCTCACAAACTCGAAATGAATGCATTCATGCATACCGTGACACACACAAACGAGCTTTTGGCATAACGCACAACAGCTTGCACGGTGTTTCGCAGCGTGTAGAAATGTGTTTATATAAAACATAACGGGGGTGTGAATTTAACTCCAAAACAAACAAATGCCCTTTGATGTACAAACTTTGCGTTCAAGCTCTCTGCACATTGCATAACAAAAGTGTTTTGAATTTCACGCTGCACAGACCGAGGCGCTGACGGCACCAAAAATAATTTTGCGTTTTGATCATTGCAGGAGACATACAGCCGCGTCAAAGCGTAACCTCTGTAGATCTGTCTGCTGCAATTTCCTCCTAAAATATATTGAACCTGCGTTTTGGGATCATAATGAAACTCGTGTCTGCATAACGCAATGTTATTTTTCATTAAATAAAGCTAGCGGATCCGTTTTTAGATGAATCCAGAAATATGAACATGCCTCGTGTATTGTTTGAGAGCTTTCCATTGTATAGTTTATGCTGGTTGCAGAAAAAATATCTATAAAAACCTTGTGTTTGAAGTGGGAAACTTGTGTGAAATGACTCGCATGATTGTGTGCGTGCGCCCACGTGTGTGCGGGCTCCAGGGGACACTACCTATGCTCGGTGTACGCAAGCCAGATGATGGTGGAACTGGGACAGGGGCTCATTGTCGTCATCTCGTCCATGGGTGGCCTTCGGTACCTCTTCAGTGTGCCCTACGGAGTCGGCAAGGCAGCCGTGAGTGTCCCCCGGCAGCTTTGTGGCGAGATGTTAACTAACTCACCCAGCATGCAGGAGGTCGTGGGTTTGATACAGACCCTGGTGCCTGCTGTATGATTGGAGTTTTGCGTGACTCTCTCCCTGTGGTCGCGTGGATTTTTCTCCGGATCTTCCGGTTTTTCCCTCCACATTTAGAAATAAGTGTTTAAGAATATTTGGCTGCTATAAAGTTCCACATTATAAGCCACTGCGTTGAACTATCATTTGTGGCCACATCGCTTCCAAAAAAGAGCTATAGAGCTAATTGAGCCTTACCTGGTAAAAATCAAAAATAGATAACATAAAAAAGAAAATAGGTTTGGGTGAGCCCGACTGCTGATGAGACTGTGTGCTGAAGTCAGTCCAGGCTTTACGTCTCCTCCAGACAAGCTGTTCACTGTGTGGTCGGTTGCACTGATTTGTGGTACCGTCATTGCCGTATTTGCCCACAAGCCACGCTTCAATAGTTTATAATAAAAATAGTTTATAGTTTAGCTCTAGAGCGGTGGCAACCACCTTGTGGTCTGTGACACCCCTGGTGGCCCGGTAAGTGCTCCGCGGATTTTTTTCTTCGTGATTTGCTTACCTTTCCAATACTTTTCACTCATATCATGTTTTTGTATTGTTTGTTGTTGTAACGTTCTGACCTGGCCCGACTGAACATCTGTGAAGAAGACCTTTATAGCTCATCGGATTCCTCCAGTATTAATAAATATTCTGATTCTGAGATGCGATTTTATTGTCCACATGACACCGAATTCTCTACTGCACGGTGGTTTACAATTTTTATTAGGGTTTAACGGTGCCGAGTGGCATCATAGAATGTTGGCAGCCACGGCTTTAGCGTGTATTTAAACGAGTGTTGGATTCAGCGATAATACGCAAGTTGCATGCATTAAATACAAAGTTGCTTAACACAGTCCATTGATTACAATCGAATCTTGCGTTCACGACACACGCATGGATTCGTGCGTGCAAGAATTTCAAACTCGCGTGTTGCTGCTTGTAATACGTTTACATGACCCCTACAGCCACTAGAGGCCCTAAGTTTACTGTCATGTAAAGAAAAAGTATTGGTGCCTGCATTGAATCGTAATAGTTCATCAAATTGCGAAGAAGGGGGTGTGTCATTACATTCCGAATTGCAAGCGTATGAGGGTTTTTATTTAACTGCAGCCACCATCACGTTCTTTACTCCTGAAACCTCTGCCAGTGGCCGGCACAAAGTCACCAATCGTTAACAACCTAATTCCTTACGCAGGGGAGTTGGTGTGACCACCATTCATCAGTGATAAAAGATGCACAGGGCCCGGCCACATACACTTAGCGTTCTTCACATGCAATGGCAGTTATGCATGGGACAAATCCATGTTGTGCTTGGTGTGCACTGAAATGCATCTCTGTGACCCCTGTGACCCCGTGGCAGTGCGACCGCCTGGCTGCCGACTGTGCGGTGGAGCTTCGCAAACACAACGTGGCCTACGTCTCGCTGTGGCCGGGTGCCGTGCGCACGGAGCTGGTGCAGGAGTTGGTGGCCAGGGACACAGAAAAATCCATTACGGAGCAGCGGGTAATTGTTAATATCATTATTACAACGCTTCTTGACTCAACACTTTTTCACGAGGGTCCTGCTCACTGTTCAGAGTCAGTGGGTGACATTGCTGTAAGCCTAATGGAGTAATGTGGGTTATCTGGATCATCGAGGTGCTACATAATGGCCTACTCTTCTTCAAATCACATTGGGGGATGTTTAACGTCCACTGTGAAGCAGATGGCGCATAGTATTTTATGGTTAATACACCCTGCAGTATTAATCAGGGCAGTCTGCCTGTTTTGAACCACACACCTCTGCCATATGCTGTGAACGCGCTACCGTTGGGCCATGTCACAAGCACCGTGGCAAAAAGTGTGCCCTGAATCCAGGAGTCGTCATTTGGCTAAATTTCTTTGCTGTCATTGTAGATGGCGAAGGCTTTCGAGAATGGAGAAACACCAGAGTTGAGTGGGAAGTGCATAGTCGGGCTGGCTGAAGGTAATTATGCTTTTCACGCACAGGAGTGGCTTACCTGATGAGCACGCTTGTGACAAATCATTACCTGACATGGATTATTACGCTCAAGATGCCCGCATCGACCGCTTAAGTAAAACTGATGATAATCCATACTCTGGTTCTTTCGGTAAAGTCACGGAGGTAGAAAAAAAATAGATCACGACGTTTCGATCGCAATAACAAGTGACCGTCTTCAAGTGAAAGAATCAGACTGCTGTGGACGAGGCATTACATTGACCCGAGAGGGGGGGAGGGAGGGGGGGGGTTGCCGCATCGGGCAAGAGGGTGGGGCCAGCGATTGTGAGGAACTTGTGAGCATGAGAGTGCAATCCAAAGGACATTTGAGCATGAGAGTGCAATCCAAGAGATCGGCTGTAGGGGGTAGAGGGAAGGGGGGGGGGGCAGAAAGTGGGACTCTGCAGCAGCACTTGAGTCACGGGGGGAGAGATCTAAGAGAGAGGCACAGAGAGACACACAGAGAGTCAGAAATAACAGCTCACATAGGCAGGTAGGATGGAAACATCACAGTCAGTTAAGACTTTACCTGGTTAATAACGTCCTTCCAATGATTGCTCAGTTTGTACCCATCTTCTTAGTTGAAATTGTGTATGTGTTTATATATCTGGATGGCTTCATGAACAAATCATCACTAATTAGACTTCTCTAATCGATCAGACCAAGCAGCGCTCCCTAAAACCTTCGGTTGCTAGACCACCCAGATTTTATGGCCTTCCAAAAATCCACAAAGTAGGTACCCCGCTCCGTCCTATCGTCTCCACCATTAACTCACCCACCTACAAACTGGCCCGATTTCTGTCTGAGACCCTGCTTCCTTTTACGGGCAAGACCACCTCCGCTGTACTTAACTCAGCTCACTTGGTTTCTCTAATCAAGGACATCTCACTCTCTCCAGATGATTTGCTTGTCAATTTCGATGTAGTCTCCCTGTTCACCAAGGTACGTGTACCTGACACCATTGCAATCATTGAAGACTTGGTCCAACAAGGACTGAATCCAGATGTACCAACTCTGGTGAGGCACTGCCTTACCAACACTTACTTCACCTGGAATGGTACATTCTACAAACAGAATGAGGGTACCCCAATGGGTTCTCCCTTATTGCCAGTGGTAGCGAATGTTTTCATGGGGAAATTTGAGACAGATGCCATCCAGACATCCACCCTACATCCTTCCTTGTGGAAGAGATACGTAGATGACATGTTCGTCATCTGGCCCCATGGCCTGCCAGCACTAAATCAATTTCTCAACCACATCAATTCCATACACCCATTTATCAAATTCACCATGGAAGTGGAAAAGGATGGCAAGCTACCATTCCTGGATGTTTTGATCGAGAAGAGACCTGATGGCTCGTTGGGACACTGTGTACAGGAAAGCCACCCACACAAATGCCTATCTAAAGCCTGACTCCCACCACCATCCAGCCCAGCAGAATTCCCTCATCAAAACACTACACCATAGGGCCCGTTGCATCTCCGACCAGCAGCACCTAGCCAGTGAGTTGGAGCACGTACACCAAGCCCTCAGGATGAACGGATACTCTGACCATACAATCGGCCAAGCTGTCTCCCCAGCTATGGGGAGACAACCTTCTGAGGATCCAACCAAAACCATCACTTTACTATATATAGCAGGGGTTACCAAAAATATTTCCAAAATCATAAACAAACACAAGATCCAGGTTCGTTTCAACACAGTACACAAAATCCGTGATTTGTTCCCGTCTGTAAAGGATGTGATTCCTGACATGCAATACCCTGGTGTCTACAAACTGAGTTGTGGTTGTGGTAGCAGTTACATTGGGGAAACGAAACGACACGTCTCGGACCGCATTCGTGAACACAAGGCAGATCTGAAACACGGTAGGACCAATACCTCTGCCGTTGCTGATCATTGTTTTAACGCTGTGGGCTCACATTAAATTGATTTTTTCAAGACGAAGGTACTCTGCAAACCCACCGGCTACCTTCAGAGATTTTTTAATGCGGCCATCCAGATATATAAACACAGACACAACTTCAACCGAGAAGATGGGTACAAACTGAGCAATCATGGGAAGGACGTTATTAACCAGGTAAAGTCTTAACTGACTGATGTTTCCATCCTACCTGCCTATGTCAGCTGTTATTGCCGACTCTCTGTGCCTCTCTTAGATCTCTCCCCCAGTGACTCAAGTGCTGCTGCAGAGTCCCACTTTCTACCCGCCCCCCTTCCCCACCCCCCCCCTCTCTCCCCCCCTCTCTCGCCCCCCCCCCCTCTCTCTCCCCCCTACAGCAGATCTCTTGGATTGCACTCTCATGCTCACAGGTCCTTTGGATTGCACTCTCATGCTCAACATGCCCTAAAGTCCATCTCTCACAATCGCTGGCCTCACCCTCTTGCCCGATGTGGCAACCCCCCCTCCCTCCCCCCCCTCGCGGGTCAATATAATACCTCGCACAGCAGTCTGATTCTCTCACCTGAAGACGGTCGCTTGTTGTTGCGATTGAAACGTCGTGATCTATTATATATTTTTTCTACCTATGTGACTTTACCGAAAGAACCAGAGTATGGATTATCATCAGTTTGAACTCTTGATTTTACTCTAACTTCTATATGGATACTTTGGGAACATCAATCAAGTGGCATGTATGCTACTTGATGACTGGAGATGGCACAATGTCAAGCAGGAACCTGAAATGTGATATGGGCAGTCCATTGAGTTACGAACGGGCTCCATTCATGAGACCCGTTTGAAAGTCGAAGGATTCGTAAGTCGAAACACAACAATGTACTGCATTTAAACGCAGTGTTATAAAATGTGTTATGGTTCAACAAAAAAGGGAAGCATTGTTAAACTCAAATAAGAAATATTGTACATTTGCATGGAATACTGTAATAATTACTTTATTAGTAAATAAAACAAAATAAAGTAACAAATAGAAAAACAATCTGTTTTATTTTCACTTACCTTGAGCCCTGATGCTGGCTTGTCAGAAGGGGCAAATGATTCACCACAATTGCACACACACACACAGGAGCATGCGCGCACACACACGCATACTCTCACTTTCACACATATCTGCACGTGCACACACACGCACTCACTTTTTCACTCACTCCCAGATCGAGGCTGACTCATTACATCTCGCGGAGGATCTCTCCGCTGAACAAAATAGTTCCGCAGTTCAGTTTGGAAGTGCGGCTTCGCGTTTTATGTCGATGTTAAAAAACAAAAAAATCATGGAAGCAGGTTCGTAAGTACATGTGTTCGTAAGTCGAGGACTGCCTTAAATGTAAATTTTATGTATAACGTATAGTTCTAGTAGATTGTTGAACAGAGCTAATATTCCGTTGCATCAGTTTTTCATGATTACGACTCCGTAAAGAAGATCCAATATGAGCAAAACTGTAATATAAAGTGTTGCTCAACAGAAACTGCTAAACTTTATGAACGTGTTGCCCGACACTTGGAGATGAAAACTAGTGCTAAAAACCCAGCACTAAAAGGAAGTATGTGCCTCCCACCCTGACGTCATTCCTGCAATGTCCTCTCCCGTCACACACCGTGTGATGTCATGTGTGGCTTGAAAAATCGTTATTTCGAAACGAACATTTCCGTGGCACGCGTGCATGTTGTGGAAGCGTTACAGGAACAATGAATATGCACGATTTTTGTTTAACAGACAAAAACATCATGAAGAAGTCCGGCCGAGTGCTAATGACAGCTGACCTTGCCTCCGAGTATGGCCTCAAGGATGTGGATGGTAAGTGGGGCATCATTCGTCATATTTAATGGAATTCTCACACTAATTTTCAAACCCAAGCTACATCTCGAGGAGCTAAGCAGTTGCTGAATCTCAATTTCTAGGGGTGCAGTTCAGCTCCAATTGAAACGCATCACCTGCTTTCGATTGTGACCCAAAATGTAAACCAGTTCCAATCCATGATTCCGTGGGTCTAATTTGATCCAGATGGGCTAATCTCGATGGAATTATAATTACTGTGATATACTGTACAATTGAGCTCATTGTTATTTGCAACCCTATTATCCTCAATTTCCCTGTTAGCCACTGCCAAAATTTCTGCACCGAAACTGTCTCTAGATAGAATGTACCTGTTGCCCACGGCTATTGCACAGATAAGTCACCCAAACGAGATGGCAAATTCTCTCTTGACATTTATCCAGTGTTTGGCGAGTGGTACCTGGCTCGTGGCGCCAGTTGAGAGGTATCTCAGGGCACCACGGTGACGAGATGTTCACTACTTTTCCTGGTATACAGGTCATGGGTTCGATCCCGACCTTGACGCTTGTATATTTGAAGTTTGCGTGTTTTCCCTGTGATCACGTGGATTTTTCTCCGGGTCCTCCAGTTTTTCCTCCACATTCAGATACAAGCGTTTAGAGTTACTCTTTGGTTCTTTCGGTAAAAGTCACATAGAAAATCAAATCAAATAATAATAGAATACGACGTTTCGATTGCAACACAAGCAACCGTCATCAGGTAAGAATGAGAAAAACACAATAGTAAACTTAGAAACACAACCTTCTTGGTTCTTTCGGTAAAGTCACGTAGAAGGGAAGTAATAAAATAATAAAAATAAAACATAATAAAATTAATTAATTTTATTAAGTCACGTAGAAGGGAAGTAATAAAATAATAAAAATAAAACATAATAAAATTAATTAATTTTATTATGTTTTATTTTTATTATTTTAAAATAAAACATAATAAAATTAATTAATTTTATTATGTTTTATTTTTATTATTTTATTACTTCCCTTCTACGTGACTTTACCGAAAGAACCAAGAAGATAAATCCCTGCAGTCACGAAAGCTTTAAATCAAAATTTAGAAACACAATGCAACACAACACAGAAAGCCGGACAACATAACAGCCAACACCCCACCTGGCTGACCACGCTCCTCCAAATGACAAAAAGAAAGACAGCGCCACTGTGTCGAGGCTTGAAATAGAGAGAGGGGGGAGGGGTTGGGGCAGAGGACAATGAGAGAGTTGCGTGGAATTCCGGACCATAGTGGCCGGAGGAGAGACAATGGACTATAAACAGGCAGCACGGAAATATTTAGAGTAAGAAAATCGGAAGTTTGAGAAAGCAAAATGAAGTAAAATTAGGAAGTGTAATGTAATGCCACACAGAGAGTCGGTTAAGACTGTGTTTCTAAGTTTACTATGTTTTTTTTCTCATTTTTACCTGATGACGGTTGCTTGTGTTGCAATCGAAACGTCGTATTCTATTATTATTAGATTTTTTCTACTTGACTTTACCAAAGGAACCAAAGAGTAATTCCTGCAGTCACGAAAGCTTCGAATCTAGTTTGAAGCGTTTAGAGTATTTGCCTGCTATAGATTTTCATTAAAGCCACTTCGTTGAACTATCATTTGTGGCCAGGTCGCTTCTGAAAAAATTAACCCGTAAAAACAAAGTTTTTCACTATAAATCCTTTATATGCGTGGCATCGGTTTTATTTTATTATTCATTTCTGTTTTTCTTGAGTAAGAGTTTCATTTTTATCACATTGGTATTTTAAATTAAATATGAAATTTTTTTTCCCTAAAAAGTGGAACATTTTGGAAAAAAAATTTCACGAAAATAAATTGTCACGCACAACGAGTCTGTGTGCAAAATGTCAGCTCGATTGGATCACGGGAAGTCGGTTAAAAAACGACCGAAAGATTTGCATGGTCGTAAGCGCGCAAGCAAGCAAGCGAACTTAATATAAAGGATTTAAAAAGAGCTGTACAGCTCAGTGGGCCTTACCTGGTAAATTAAATAAAGTTTATATAATTTAGTCTGGCAAGGGTCAGGTGTCGTGTCATCCCATCCTGAGGACAAGCGACCCTCTCGCTACTTATTCACCAGTGCCCTCTGCTGGTTATAGCGATAATTTATGTTTTTGTCAAATATTTTTCGTTCGAGGCCATTATTTTTGTCACATTTAATGGGCCTCGACCTCTAATATAAAGTTGAACACAAACAATTATTTGACAATAAGGGGTGAAGGCTGGTGCTTTATGCAGAGTTAAAACCATAATCCAACGAGGTATTTGACGTGAAATATCCATACATTGGGAACATCTGACCAGACTGGAAAATCTGCTGCACCGAGACAGAAAACGCCTTAGAAGAGATAACGTGCAAATATATATGTAATCGAAACACCTTTACCAGGAGCAGCATTCATGGGGTAGCGGCACAGGTGCAAAATAAAATGCGCACCTTTTGCTACTGGTAGATTTTCATAACGTACGCTGGCAAGTGAGCTTAATAAGACAGAATCGGTGGCAATATTTGTCTGTCTTGAAAACTCATCTCTTTAAAAACTGCGCTTTATTCTCTAGTTCTGTTTATTTACTGCTTTCAATGGCACATTGGAATATACGGATCAAATGCGCCTTACAAATGTAAATTATTTCCGTGAAGTGGCTGAAACCCAGGTGCTTCGATTGCTGCTGCGACACCAGTTTTTTTGGGAACAGTCTGATGGAAAGGGTCCTCGCCTGATGCTGTTCTCGTTTTGTTTTACTATTGTGAATGTTGTGTTGCAGGCAGCGCGCCAGTTAACTACACGTCACTCAAGTTTTTGGTGACACAGGTCCCAGGGCTCGCCTGGATGTCCTGCGTTATCCCCAGCTTCATAAAGGTTCCCAAGTGGATGCTCAGCCTCTCGGCATCCAAATTCTAAAGCATCGTCGGCTCTGCTCAAGTGCCTCATTCAACAGCTTAAAAATGTATCCTATGCCATTCGTAACAAAGTGCATCTTGATTTAGATTGTCACAGGTATACGTTTACAGTGATTATTTAAATTTAACAAATTTATCATTGGAGTCTATGCTGTATTAAGATAGACACTGCAAATAAATGTAAAAAAATAAAAATGTGTGGATTAAATGATTGAGAATACAACACGTATAAAATCGCTTAATTTTTATTCATTTCGTAACCACCTCAACATTCTGCGTGGAGGATGAGCTCTTAACCTGTGGTGGGTGCACAGCCCACTCTGATGGGTTTGAAAAATTCTACAACTTGTTTGCAGATAAGTCCTGTTAAGATACTGGCAGCTGCCAAAATGTAGTCGGATAAAATATGCTACTTTGGTATCTTCCAATTTGTGGGTTAAAAATACCATAACACAGTACTTCTTAAAAGGACACTTTTAAAATGTTGATTACTGCCCATGTGTTCACGCAATTGCTTTTGAGATGAAACTTGCTTGTACACTGGTCATCGCTCAGGAATCTAAATGCATGCGTATTTTTCACAATAGGATGCCGGACCAGCCTTAAATGTCCTTCTGACGGATGGCACATTTTCAATAGTCTCCATACCAAAGCTTTGAATTAATATGTAGTGAACTATGACTTGGGCTATGATATTTCATTAAACTGTCCCCATACACATGAAAGTGTGGTTCAAACTCTTAAAAAAAGTAGTCTGGCCACAATATAAATGGTGCTTGCATGGGATAGCAGTGTTTAAAACACATGTTTAAAAACTTTACCATAACTATGGACAAAAAATTTTTATTTTTCAAAATTATCCAAAGTCATTCGAAATGTAATGCAGTGTAGAAGATCGCCCAGACAACCTGAAAAAAAGGAAAACAATGTAAACAATTGCATTTTTACACTATGGGAACCTCATTTGCCAGTAAAAATATGATAATTGTTTTTTTACCCTTCTATCTGGCAACAAAAGTGACACCTTTTTACAGGAGTCATGTTTGCATAGACCGCAATACCTGCAGTCATAATACAAACAAAAGACATAACTCTGATAATGTGCACTGTCCTCAAGTAGGATGCCGGACCAGCTAATGATAATATGCACTGTCCTCAAGGACAGTGCACATTATCAGAGTTATGTCTTTTATTTGTATTATGACTGCAGGTATTGCGGTCTATGCAAACATGACTCCTTGTAAAAAGGTGTCACTTTTGTTGCCAGATAGAAGGGTAAAAAAACAATTATCAATTGCCTTTTTCTCACTTGTATTCAAATTCAGTGTCTTTTGGTGTCATGTCACGAGGCCGTGTGGTCATTCAGATCCCTCGCCAGCAGTGAATCGCCCATGTGAAGCATTTAGCCTGCATTCGGCCTTTCGCGATTCCTTTTCAAGTAACATTATTTTACACGCACACTAGGGGGAAACACTTTCCTATGCACCTTACTACACTGTGAAAGGTTCATCCCTCCACAGGTATTTCTAATTTCCCAGGGCTGGAATTTGCCAAATTGATTGAAAAAAACAATTACATTTTACGATTGTTTGTGCACTCATTGGTAGATCTTTAATTGTTTATTATGACCTTTAGATAATGCTCAACCATCTAAGTTGTAACCAGGTTTGGCCTCCCTTCTGAAGTCTAATAAGATCGTGCTCCAATCGCTGTTGAATATATTTTGGCTACAGGGTTTGTACATGATTAGTATCAGATATTCTATTCTTTGGGTCTTTCGGTAAAATCACGTAGAACAATTTTTTTTACAAAAAACTACGACGTTTCCATCACAACACAATAAATCGTCATATTTCTCCTGATGAAGATTGCTTGTGTTGCGATTGAAACGTAGTTTTTTGTAAAAAAAATTGTTCTACGTGACTTTACCGAAAGACCCAAAGAATATGAATTCCTGCAGTCACGAAAGCTTTAAGTCAAGATTTATGAGATTCTCTCGAATGATTTTTACAACTTCACATTCAAATGACATAATATAGCTACATGCAACAATATTCAAATATGCTACTGAAAATATGATCGAGTGAAAATCAAGCATTCCATAGACCATATTTTACAGATAACGACAGCTCTTTGTTTTCCTTAGTATTATACTACAATATTCAAACTTGCAAATTAAAATGAGTTTACTTTAAAAATTACTGTTTGCGAGAATGCCAAGCGCTGAATAAGAATGAGGACAGTCTCACCAAGAATAAAGAGAAAGATGTCATAAAGCCCTCCTTGGTCAGCTCCCACGTGCCACCATACTCCTCCTCGTCCACCTTTTGGAAGTTACTGAAGTACAAGTAGAGCAAGCCTGCGTTTATCACGCAGAATCTGTGGGAACACAGGCCAGGACCACACAACTCAAAATGTGCGCTCCCTGAATGGGAATAACGCTGGATTCAAATATGACTCGTGAAAATGTATCAAAAGGGGCAAGTGGCAGGGTCTTGTTTTCAGCCTTTTTTTTATCTTGCTCATTGGGGGTTCTCAGTATGGTAACAAAATCGAATCTTACGTTTCAAACGTGCATTGCACTGCGCAGGCAAAAAGCAATTGTTTACATGTTATACATTCATACCACTTATAGATTTTATATGCAGCATAATGGCAGATAGGAATGTATTTGTGAATTGAACTGTGACCACTGTTTATGACAACTCATTGAATTGTGGAGGTGGTGAATCGTTAAACCCTGAGTTGCGAGCAACATTAATGGTGTCCATATGATAGCGTTGTTTGTTCAGACGATCAGAACTCATCACATACTGTGACTGGGAGAGTGGTTTATGTCTAAATACAGCTGACAACCCAGCGAGTGGGAGATCAAAGTTGGCCACGATTGGCCATCCCCTGCAAGTCCGTGCTGACCCCACTGCAGCTTCTTAAAACTTCAGACAAACTTTTAAAGTATTCAGCAATGCGTGGAGAACTCGGCCTATCGTCATATTTGAAAGTCAACTGTGAGAAATTTCAGCTGTGACCGATCTCCTTTCAAGAGACGAGCATCGCCTCTGGTTTGTTTCAGCAGGGAGACTTACTTTAGAGTTAGGAATACCATTGTTTACTGTTATTCCTCTTACGTTACAGAGTTACGCACATATAATACGGAGGTCATCTTTTGTGTTGAGACCAGAGTGAAGATGAGTAACGTTGCAAGTCTTGAGAGCTCAATTTCTTCACCAAACGCCCCTCCCCGTAAAATAAATCACAGTAATAGCGACCTTAAATCGAGTGTATATATTTTTAAAATGCTTCACACAGTTGCCTAAACATACGCTTCTCATAACACGCTGACGCTACGCGTCCACGATCACTGGCTTGGCGGGCCCAGCAATATTCCTGGGCTGTTCCATAATCAAGAGCTTGGCTCCAATACTTGTTCCAGTGCTCCATAAGCCACGTGGCTCTGTGGATTCAGCTTCTGCTCCATCCCCATTTCTGTCCTCCTTGGCCAGATGGTATCAATAAAAAGCATGTTAAGCTCATGTTAATAATAATTTTTATTTGTAAGGTGCATTTCATCCATAGATCCTAATGTACTTTAATAACAAGAATCAAAGTGCTTAAATTCGTATATGTTAAACCAGTGTTTACAAAAATACAGTTTTTAAATGTGGGTCATTACATCATCAACAATCCAATCAGATGTGTTTACCACCATCAAATATGAACATCACACATTTGCAAGTTTCTGATGACCTGTGTGCTAAGTGGGTGTCACTGGTAAGATGTTAACTACCTCGCCTGGTATGCAGCAGGTCGTGGGTTCAATCCTGACCTTGACGCCTGCTGTATATTTTCAGTTTGCGTGTTTCTCCGTGGGCGCGTGGATTTTTATCCAGGTCCTCTGGTTTTTCCCTCCATATTTAGAATCAACCTCAGGCGTTTAAGAGTATTTGACTGCTATAAATTTCCACATAAGCCACTTAATTGAGCTTTCATTTGTGTGAGTCAGGTCACTTCTGATAAGGAGCTACCACAGCTCAGTGGGCCTTACCCTGGTACAATAAAAAACGATAGCTGAATTTCAAATACAGATAGTTGAGTTTTAGTTTATCAATGCGGTAGAATGACACGCACACGAAGCAGCTCGGGGTGGTACACGAGCATTGCGTTGTTGATTTGCGCGTACTCACAGCAGGATGGCGACAATCCCCTTGAGGGGAACGACTCCCCAGACGACACCCAGAACCAGCCCAATGATCTGACGGATCCAGTAGATGACGTCCAGGAACTCGTCCTGAAGAGGATCGCAGAGACGAAGCCGTTACGGAGACCCCGCGCGCCACCCGAAGCCACCGCCATTGATCACTCGGGAGAATAACGATACTTGGCAGAGAATGCCAAAATAAGTTGTTTAAAGATATAACAAACCAACAAAAACCCACGACCAAATGAGAAGTCACGGAGACAACTCTCTTGTGCAAGGAATATCGCCTGCACGGCTCCTCCTGCAATGATTTTAACGCGACCAACGCCAGATGCAACACTGAAGTCTGGTCTAGATGTACATACTTACCCTGAATGTACAAATATTATTACGGAGCATTGGTATATTAAATAAACGTCTTAATGAGATGCAATGTCACGCGACTATTTTTGAAACTTGTAAAGCAATAAATACTGCCATGCCTGAAAGTGGCAAGAGCATGTATTGGGTTTCACGTGCGGCTGATGTGTCTCTGGTCGCCACTTTAAAAGCAGCGACTTTAAACCCCACAAACCATTCCACTCAACTATATATATTTTATATTGTACCAGGTAAAGTGCACTGAGCTGTGTAGCTCTTTATCAGACGCAACAAATGATAGCTCAACAAAGTGGCTTATAATGTGGAAATGTAAAGCAGCCAAATAATCTGAACGCGTGATGTTGATTCTAAATGTGGAGGGGAAAAACCGGCGGACCCGGAGAAAAATCCACGCGACCACGAGAGAGACACGCAAACTCCAAATATACAGCAGCAGCAGGCGTCGTCAGGGTAGGGATGGAACCCACGACCTCCTGTACGCCAGGCGAGGGAGTGAACATCTCGCCCGTGCCACTCCACTGGGGTCCCCCCCCCCCCCTGGGGGCCTCTTCGCCAGGGGGGGGCGCGAGGAGACGCGGGCTGGAAGGGGTGGGAGACGGTGGGAGATGGTGGGGTGGGAGGCGGTGGGGTGGGTGACGGTGGGGTGGGAGGCGGTGGGGTGGGAGATGGTGGGGTGGGAGACGGTGTGAGATGATGGGGTGGGAGGCGGTGGGGTGGGTGACGGTGGGGTGGGAGGCGGTGGGGTGGGAGATGGTGGGGTGGGAGACGGTGGGAGATGGTGGGGTGGGAGGCGGTGGGGTGGGTGACGGTGGGGTGGGAGGCGGTGGGGTGGGAGATGGTGGGGTGGGAGACGGTGTGAGATGATGGGGTGGGAGGCGGTGGGGTGGGAGACGGTGGGAGATGGTGGGGTGGGAGGCGGTGGGGTGGGAGGCGGTGGGGTGGGAGACGGTGGGAGATGGTGGGGTGGGAGGCGGTGGGGTGGGAGACGGTGGGAGATGGTGGGGTGGGAGGCGGTGGGGTGGGAGGCGGTGGGGTGGGAGACGGTGTGAGATGGTGGGGTGGGAGGCGGTGGGGTGGGAGACGGTGGGAGATGGTGGGGTGGGAGGCGGTGGGGTGGGAGATGGTGGGAGATGGTGGGGTGGGAGGCGGTGGGAGGCGGTGGGAGATGGTGGGGTGGGAGATGGTGGGGTGGGAGGCGGTGGGGTGGGAGACGGTGGGAGATGGTGGGGTGGGAGACGGTGGGAGATGGTGGGGTGGGAGGCGGTGGGAGGCGGTGGGAGATGGTGGGGTGGGAGGCGGTGGGGTGGGAGACGGTGGGAGATGGTGGGGTGGGAGACGGTGGGAGGCGGTGGGGTGGGAGATGGTGTGAGATGGTGGGGTGGGAGACGGTGGGAGATGGTGGGGTGGGAGGCGGTGGGGTGGGAGACGGTGGGAGATGGTGGGGTGGGAGGCGGTGGGGTGGGAGATGGTGGGAGATGGTGGGGTGGGAGGCGGTGGGGTGGGAGACGGTGGGAGATGGTGGGGTGGGAGGCGATGGGGTGGGAGATGGTGTGAGATGGTGGGGTGGGAGGCGGTGGGGTGGGAGATGGTGTGAGATGGTGGGGTGGGCCCGCCTCGTCCCAGGGAGCTGATGGACACCACAGCGATGGAGGCGAGATGAGAGGCAGCAGGAGGGAATGGCTTGGCCCTTATCTAGGCACGGTTGAGAGAGAAACCAGAGATGAGAGTTTAGAGATCGATGAGACATGAGAGAGATGAGGGATGATGGGACGGGGCCTCCTCTTGCCTTGTCTCCCCATTGCGCGCCGGCGCTCAGCGCTTTGCTCCAAGGCGACTTCACGGCGCCGTTACTGACGCCGCCTCTCTTCTTCTGCGGCGAGGCCATGGGCTCGAACAGGGACTCCTTGGTTGCTCTACTGGCCCTCACTGCGTGGCCCCACCACCCCCTCACTGCGTGCACCCTCGCTACGTGGGACCTCGCCGCCTTGGGCCTCGCTGTGCTGACGGACGCCGTGTGGTGGCACCGGCGGCCGCAATGCACCGCGGCGGCCGCGTCACCTCCTGTCCACTTTGACAGGAGCCCCCTCCTCCAGCCCCGCCCCCTCCTCCAGCCCCGCCCCCTCCTCCAGCCCCGCCCCCTCCTCCAGCCCCGCCCCCTCCTCCAGCCCCGCCCCCTCCTCCAGCCCCGCCCCCTCCTCCAGCCCCGCCCCCTCCTCCAGCCCCGCCCCCTCCTCCAGCCCCGCCCCCTCCTCCAGCCCCGCCCCCTCCTCCAGCCCTGGCGCCTGCTGTAAATTTGGAGTTTGAATGTCTCCCTCTCCCCGTGGTCGCGTGCATTTTTCTCCGGGTTCTCTGGTTTTCCCTCCACGTTTAGACTTTCGCTGATAGAATTTCCACATGATAAGCCACTTCGTTGAGCTATCATGTGTGATTGCCAGGTCGCTTCTAAAAAATGAAATATTTTTCAGTGGGCCTTACCTGCTAAAATAAACATAGTTTAATAGCTTTAGTTTGTTATGTGGAAATGATAGCAGCCAAATACTTCTCGATGCATGTTGATAAATGTGGAAGGGAAAACTGGAGGACCCGGAGAAATTCCACACGACCACAGGAGGAGAGACATGCAAATTCCAAATATATACAGGCATCAGGGTTGCGGATCGAACCCACGACCTCCTGCATACCCAGGCGAGGTAGTTAACATCTCACCACCGTGGCACCCCTTGGTATTGTGATGAGAGATTGCTGTGAGGTATCTCAGCAGTGGTTCTACGCCAGCACCTTTTGATCGAGGGATCGCGTACCCTCTGGGGATGAGAGGATGATCGGAAAGGGGAGCAGTTTGCGGCGTAAATGCTGTGCAAGATAAATGTCAAAATTGCGCTGAAACGTCAACGCCTTGTTCGCGGTGATAAACGCACTCGCCTACCACACGAAACACAATGACCAGATGCGTGGACATGTGATCTCTCTTTCTCTCCATCTATCGTGGCCCTGAGTTAAAGAACATTTTATTTTTGGAGCTGAGATTGGGATGGGGGGCGGCACATTACCAAAACGATTGAGAACCACTGCTCTATACAGATGCCTGCATCATGGAGATGTGTTAACAACTGAGATTGACAACATCAACGTATGTATTAACGCTTTTCTCATCCAAATCAAACATTAACCCTAGCCTTAAACATCTGTTGTCTATAATAACTTATGAATATTAGGATACATATACTGTGACTTGTCTAACACGTTAAACAGAAACGAATAACAAGATTGCTTGTTCTCAGTTAAATTCGCACCGTGTTTATCCCGGGTCTTTTTGTACATTGTAGATGAAAGGACAATGTGCTGATTGGCTCACCTTGTGGGTTACCAGAATTGCAATGAATGAAGTTGCCGACGACTATAGTTTCAGTATATTTACTGATAAACACTCTTGTTTTTCATAAAATAGTCGAATTTGTTTAAATTTGCCAACAGGTTTGGGCAAGTATTCAATTCGAGTGACAGTCTCATTGCTTATGTTAATGTCATACCGGTCATTTCTCGACGAGACAGGGGGTCTTCGTCAAGCAGTGGAGACAGACTCGCATGCTGCTGGCGATGTCGCCATCGCAGTTGCACAGGACAATGCAGGGCAATGGCACAACACAGAAGCTTTCACAAGTCGATGCGTAATGATACGGAATGGTAACGTCCGACATGGTGAATCACAACCGAAAGAACGTTGACTGGACGTTGTATATTTGTTTAACATTCGCAACGAAAGCACTTAGCCAGGCCAATCTTCCACCTTAAATAGTATAATAAAGCTCGTTGAGACGACTTCTGGAATCCGTCTTTTATTCAACTTGTATACAGCTTTTCCTTCACGCTGCTGACAGGCAGCGTGAGAGGGACAGATAGCGAGAGAGACACACTGCCACGTGGCAACCCAGAGCCCCGCTCCCGCATGGCCCCCTTCCTCTGTTCGTTCCCGTTCTGACCACGTGTCGTTCGTCTCCACCCCTATTTAATACCCGGGTCACTAGGTACGTTTCCCCCAATCCTGGCTAGCCTCCATGGAATATTCTAGGCTCCCTCGTAAGCTGCCGGGACCACGCCCCTGACTCATCTCCCCATTGGCTGTGGCCAAAGCCAGCAGAACCAATCCCCTACTTCCAGCTGTCACCTTTCCATTACGTCAGGGCCACGCCCCTAGACTTCCCCCCATTGGCTATAAACCAGGACCGGCAGAGCCAATCATCATGACAAGTTGTGATACGTCATTGAGCCTGATATATCCTCACATTACAATAGGATGGAAAGCAGTTGTGAAAATGTACGGGCTTTTTCGCTGTATACCGTGGTAGATGTTGAAGACGATTATGTAATGAACTCATGCACTCTTCAGTTCATGAAAAAGGACTCTCTAGCGGGATTTTACATAGAATTAGTGTCTAAATATATATGGGCGTTTCATGACTGTACATGAAGCTGAACACGACGGCAAATTAATTTTAATGAGGGCGCCTTCACCCACCAATAATAAATGGCTTAAACTAATACAGCCCCCAAAGTAATTAGACCATCACCGATATTGTTTCTGACCGTTAAACTTTCTCCCACAACCCACACATAGCCTTAACAAGTGCTGTTAGTGAGCACCTTATGAAGGCTGGCACGGCACACGAGGGGGGTGGGGTGGCCAGCACCACGCCCAGCCGCCTTTGTCTCCCCAGTGGCGATGTTTACACACCGCACCAAGCACTCATTTGTGGCTGAGTCGACCCAGGGGAGGCCCAGGACCGGTTCAGATAATCGTCACTGGTGTTGGTAGCTGTGAACGGGAATCGAGCTCGGGTGGCTGGATTCGCGCTAACCACAACACTACCGCACTCCCCCCAACCCACCGCATCGCTCGTGTCACCCACATCCCACTTGAACTCCGCCACATCTCCCCTGCCCGGCCTCATGAGAGCACAACCCACACAGCACCGCGTGCCCACCCCTCTGTGCCCTCGGCACCGCAGTCTGCCCATGTGTAGTATGGTTCCAGGGAGACTTGACACGTAGTTGGATGCACACGCTTATTTATTAACACCAGCACGTAACTCGGAAGCTTACAGTAACTGAAGGGGTATCGGCCCCTTCACCCGTCTAGCCACGGAACACAACAGCCTAGCTCACAGCTAGCTTACACCTAGGTTACGGCACCCCGAATATCCAGACCCCGCTCTTAGAAGAGCGTCGGTTCTGGGCTCTGGGGGCCACGCCGTTGGCTTGCCTGGTCGGTCCTTAAAAGGACAGCGATCCCAGGGAGTTCCAGGGCCGGTCTAGCTGGTCTTCTTTTTTCACTGGTTACAGCTTAACACACTAGACCCAGAGCCCTTCGGCTCACCGCCTTAAATAGCCATCTCCCCCCGAGGGGAGGGGCTGTGGGGGATCCCAGCGTACGGCGAGGACGTCGCTGCAAGCACCTGCTCCGCGTACCGACGTAGCCACGTCCATTGTGTTTGTTTGCCACCCGCGGCAAGTCTAAATCAGGCCGTCTACAACGGCTACAATGGCTCTACATCACCCCCCCCCCCTGTACAGCTCGCAGCCGTCCCGGCTGCAACAAAATAGCAATAAAGATGCATCCCCCCCTTTGAACCCGTGTGTGCCTCACAAATCTTTAACAACAACAACAACAACAAGAAGAACAAACCAACACGACACACCCCGACCGAATAAATACCCCATCCCGTAAAAACAACATATATACAAGAACCGAGGGCGGTCGCTCGCAAGGGTCGCATTGGCGGCCGGCCTCACAAAAGTCTACGCGTTCTGGCGCGCGTCCTTGCAGCGGGGCCGTCACAAGGGACCCCTCTGGTTTGGCCAGTGGCGGTTGTTAGCAGTCCGGGTGTGAGGGTGTCCGGCTCTGCTGCAGAGCGACCCCCGACCCCCCCGGGAGGGGTTGGCGGTCGTGAGCGTGTCACTCCTGGTGTGCCTGGAGGTGGAACAGACGGTGTTAAGTCAGATGACAGCAGAGAAGTCGTACTCCGGGAGTCGGTGGACCCCTCACATGATTGGCCACGCGTGTGTGAAGTAGGAACATGGGGTGCAACGAACGGTTTTAACCTGGAGGGGTGCACAAACCACCGACGTTTCCCCCATCGGATACGCACACATTGTGGGCGCAAAACCTGCACCACCTCCACGGGCCCCCGCCACGGCCGCACCAGTTTAGACGAGGTTGCTAGCGGGACTTGGGGACAGTGCAACCACGCCTGGTCACCCGGCTTCCACTGAAGCACGTGCACCCGAGCCAGCCTGAGCCTCTCATTTGCCTTCTGGCGGAGTTCAGAGTTCTGCATGGCCGCCTCCCGCGCCTCTGTCAATTTAGCGACGTTGAATTTCACATGTTCGGCCAATTTGGATTTACTATGCGGCGTGGAGATCCGCAGCTGAGTCGGAACAGGTGGGTTAGGCTCGCGGCCATACATTAGGAAAAAGGGTGAAAACCCGGTCACCGCATGGGGAGCCATCCTGTATGCTGCTAAAACCCCCGGGATATGAAGGTCCCAATCGGTCTGGGATTCAGACACCTGCTGGGACAGCATGGACGTGATGGTCCGATGCAGCCGCTCCACCATTCCGTCCGTTTGCGGATGATATGGGGAGGTACGAATCTTTTTCGTTCCCAGGAGCTCGCACACCTCGTGGAGAAGCTTCCCCGAAAATGTTTTACCCTGATCGGTCAGCAGCCGCTCCGGAGCACCTTTGTCGAGGACATAGCCCTGGACAAAGGCCTCCACGATGGCCGCTGCTGACTGATTGGCGAGGGCCCAGGCCATAGACCATCTCGTAAAATATTCTACCCCGGTTAACAGGTATCTATTCCCCCTAGGCGTAGCAGGGAATGGGCCCAGAATATCTAGTGCAACGAGCTCGTTAACTCGGGAAACTTTTATGGACTGTAAGGGTGGATTAGACCCCTTGGCTGGTGGCTTCCTTTGCGCGCACTGGGTGCATGACCCCAACAGGTCCTCCACATCCCTTGCCATGCCCGGCCATGAAAAATTTAGTTGGAGTGTGGCAAGGGTTTTGTGGGTCC